GAGGAGGACTACTATTCTATTTTTTTTTCAAGGGGGGGGGGGGAAGTGAAGCGCCGTTTTAGCATGACTTTCTTTTTAACTCTTACTTTCACCTATCTCAGATAACCCTAAGTTTTTTGGTTGCTGCTTTATATGTAGTTGATAATGCATGATTAAAATAGAGAGAGAGAGAGAGAGAGAGTACCACCATCATTTTGCAATGGTTCAGGGTTCGTGTAATGTACACTTGAAACCATTTCTTAGCGTCTCAACACTAAAAAAAATAGCAAAACAATTTTTAAGGAAAAGCATTATACTGAATTAAATAAAGATTAATAGCTTTATATTGGATCAAACTAATACTGTTACGGGCTAAAGACAATGTGGTATTTGTATAGAGGTATTTCAAAATGACATTCTGATAATCAACATTTGTTCTGGTATCATAATATACGCATAATACAACTGATCTTTATGATTTCTTAACGTGACATAGCTTCTTCTCCCCCTGCAAACAAAAAAGAAAACAAGGTTATTTAATAAAAGGATCATGTGACAAATAATCATTGTGATTCAAATTGATGCAAGGATTTTTTTTTTGAATAAGCAATGCTTTTCACCAGAATCTTCTTTGTAAAAAACGACTTTTACAAATCTCAGCCATGTAAATCTGCCACTGTGTTGTAAGATCACTTTCAGATTAGGAGAAGTGTATTCTTTAATGAGTATTTACATTGAATGGAACGTCTCAACTCAGTAAGCATGGCTGAGATTTGTAAAAGTTGTTGAATAGCAGTGCTTATTCAAACAAATATTCGCATCAATTTGAATCACAATCATTATTTGTCGCTTAATCCCTTTTAATGACCTTGTTTTCTTTCTCGTTTGCAAGGGGAGGAGAAGATATGTCACATTAAAGACATCATAAGGATCAGTGTTGTATGCGTATATATTATATACACAGGCCAGTAACAGCTATGTAGCTTGTAAATTTGTAAGGAAAATGCTGATTGAAATGATAATGATGATATAGCAAATAATTGAGGAGTATCGTAGGTACCAATTCAATGGATATGTGTATAAAAAAGAGCCCCCGTCAGTACTAAAAGAGCCCCCGTGAGAAGGCTCACGGGGGGCTCTTTTTGGGGGGAAGAGCCCCCGTGGACAAAAAATTAATTTGAGCCCTGCAACTGCCCCTCTTTTCCTTTGTAAGAAGTGCCCCTTCTCCTTTTAATAACTACCCCTTTTTTAAACTCGGATGAGCACACTTTCATTTTAACATGTGCCCCTTTTATTTTCTAATAAGTGCCCCTTTTCCTTATGATAAGTGCCTCCATTAAAAAGAGAGAGCTCCTTCCCCTTCTCATAACTACCCCTTTCCCTTTCTAATAAGTGCCCCTTTTCCTTTGATAAGTGCCCCCATTAAAAAGAAAGAGCTCTTTCCCCTTCTCATAACTGCCCCTTTTAAAAATCTGAACGGTGCCCCCTTTTCATTCAACAATGCACATTTTCTTTATTATAAGTGCCCCTTTTACATTTTCATAGGTGCCCCATTTCATATCTGGTCAGTGCCCCTTTTCACCTCTTTTAAATGCCCCTATCAAAATCTGATGGGTGCCCCTTTTCCGTCAACAAATGCCTATTTCCCATTTTTGTAAACGCCTCTTTTTCATCACTGGTGAGTGCCTCTTTTCAGGTGAAAATATGCCTCATTTTCATCTCTTATAATTATCCTTTGTACTTTGACACGTGCTCCTTTTCTTTTCTAATAAGTGTCTTATCCCTTTCGATAATTGTCCCCTTTTCATGTAATCATTAAACGTGCCCCTTATTTAATGCGACTAAGAGCAATTTCCACTAAAGTTCACTTGCTGCGCTCGCTCGCATATAATGATGATATAATTATGTTTCGTTATGAAAATGTGCTTATAACCCATCACGATTGGCTTTTTTCCTCTTTATAAGATGTAATTTTTCGCACTACGACCTCACAGATCTTTGAATTTTTTCTGGCTCGCTTCGCTCGCTTGTAAATGCATATTCAGACATCACACCCAACTGTAAAGTATGATGCTTAAGCGATATTTTGTATGATGTATGAAGAGAAACAATTTAGGGATATATAGCAATGTCTAAAAAATGGTATATTTTCGCTTTGAGATTTCCCACTGAAGGTGCCCTTTTTCCCCAGAAAGTGCCCTTTTTTGTTGGTGCCCCCCCCCCCACTATGGAAGTCGCTCGGCCGCCCATTCTAAGAACTGTGACTTTTATCCGCTGGGACGGCTTCGAGAGAGACTACAACTACTTGTATTTTCTCGAAGTTTCACCATCCTAAAATATCAGAGATAGAAATCAGAGGTTTAACATTTTCGGGGAAACTAAATTCAGACAAGGATAAAGAGTCGAGAACGAATCGTCTTCTTTCTCTAATAATTTAATGAAACGTCTAAGCTTCCGCACTATGCGCGGGAGGGGGAAACTGAATTCAGTCAAGGATTAAGAGTCGAGAACGGTAGGTCTACAAAGAATCGTCTTCTTTTTCTAATAATTAATAAAATGTCTGAGCTTATGTGCTACGCGCGGGAAGGGGGGGAGGGGAAACTAAATCCAGACAAGGATTAAGAGTCGAGAACGGTACAACGAATCATCTTCTTTCTCTAAAAATGTGATGAAACGTCAAGGCTTCCGCGCTTCGCGCGGGAGGGGATAATAATACAGACCAGGATTAAGAGTCGAGAACGGAACAACGAATCGTCTTCTTTCTCTAATAATAAAAGGAAACGTCGAAGCTTCCGCGCTTCGCGCGGGAGGGTTAAACTGAATTCAGAAAAGGATTAAGAGTCGAGAAGGGTACAACGAATCGCCTTTAATATTTCTCTTTAATTTAAGGAAACGTCAAACGTGAAACTCCCCCTCCCTTCACCCACCCCTGACTCCGTTTCGTTGACAATCAACCATGCATAAAGTCTTTCGTCTATTTATTTTCGTTAACGAAACGGAGTTAAGTCTTTTGTCAATTCTGCTTGTTGCTACAGCAGGCAGCCAGTGAAAACGGACCTTTGAAATCAAAATATGGAAATGCAAGCCTCACTTTAAACAAACAGAACTTTGTTATTCCTTGCTCATTTTTCCTGATTGAGGTGTCATAATTTATTATGAAAGGGCAGAAACTGAAATTTCTAGAAATGTGATTTTCTCTTTGAAATTCAGATACCGTCCGCCAAATGACTTTTTGGTTCCCTCTCTTCAAATTGATTTTAATCACTCATGCGTGAAATATGCATCATTATGAGTTGCATCAAATGAAAGGGGAGGATCTAAGCCTTACGAATATGTGTCATTTATTAATCATAATTGTGATTAAGTTATGATAAAACATCGATTATTCTCGGTTTCGTTTTTTACGGGATGCACTGTATAACAAATTATGTTCTACACACTTTGAGCAATGAGATAATAAGTTAATATCCAATCTACTATAATTATATCCAGAGGCTGTGGTGCGTCTTACAGAGTGGAGGGAGGCATCAACAAAAAGGGGCACTCTGGAAAAAGGGGCACCTACATAGGGAAACCTCAAAGTGAAACTATGCCATTTTTAGACATTGGTATATACCCCTACATATAGTGATTATATTATCAGGGATATTTCAACATTGTTTTTCTCTTTATATAGTCCAAGATATTCATACTTTGCAGTTGGGTGTGATGGTCTGGATATATTTTTTTGCGAGCGATCAAAAATTAAGATTTATGAGGCCGCATTGCGAAAAACTACATCTTATAAAGATGGGAGAAAAAACACAATTTCTGATGGGATATTAAGCACAATTTAATCACGAAAGACTGAAAAGATATTTAATGAGAAACATATTTATATCAACTTTAAATGCGAGCGAGTCTAGCGAGCGAGCTTTTGGCGAAATTAATGAAAAAAATTGCTATTAGTTGCTTAAAATTATGAGCACTCTTCATGGTGAAAGGAAAAAGGGGCACATATCCAAAGGGAAAAAAAAAACACACTTATTAGAAAAGAAAAGGAGCAAGTGTCAAAGTAAAAGAGGGGAATTATCAGAGGTGAAAATGGGGCACCTCTCGCACCTGATAAGGGGCCCTCACCAGAGATGAAAAAAGGCAATCATTATGAGAACGTAAAGGGTCACTTATAAAGTAAAATTATGGGCAATTATTATCAGACGGAAAACGGCACTAATAAGAAAGGACAAGGGGACACGTGTCAAAATAACAAGGGCGCTTATCGAGATGAAAAGGGGCACTTATAAGAGAAGAATGGGCACTTATAAGAGGTGGTAAGTGACACATATTACAAAGGAAAATTGGCACTTGTTGTAGGAAAAGGGGCACCTATGACTATGAGATTTTAACAGAGGTGTGAGTAGAAGCATTTGTCAGAAGGGGAGGTAGCTCTAATTAAAAAATGGGGCATTTATCAGAAGGAAAAGGGGCAAATATTAGAAGAAAGAAAAAAAAGGGGCACATGTCAAAATAAAAGGAGCACTTATCAGAGATGAGAAGGGGCACTCATCAAAGATAAAAAGGGGCGCTTTTATGTGTGTGTGTGTGTGTATTTAAGTTATCACTCTTCATGACAAATCAATTACATATATACTATTATTGTTATTTGAATGTTTTATATTTGATTTATCAATAAATGCAGAAACATCTACTAAAAAAGGCATGGGGAAATCAAGCTTTTAGGGATATAAAGGGAAATTAATGAAATAAAAATATATAAAGCAATTGATAAATAGTGAGGCAATGACGTCACAAACTAAACCGAATGGCAATTTGTGCAGTGATTTTCTAAGTGGTTTTGCTTTGTTTCTATTGTTTATCTGCATCCATTAAAAGCAAATTATTTTTGGAGTGGACTGAACCTTTAAGAGCAGTGAACCTCGAAACGATCGCACCGACTGTTTGTGAATGATTGTGTATGTTTGAAGCTCTTAAAACTAATCAGCTTTAAAGAATATCTCCCATGTGTGAAAGCGGGCTTCAAGATACGGAACAGAAGAGGTTTATACTATTTATTCACTCTACCGTTAGTGACAAGATCGAGATATCAAACATTGTATACCCCGGTTATACAGGATGCAGCCGTTGGCAAGCTTGAATCCACACTGAATGCGTAATATAAAGCACTATGGCTTCCACACGATGTGTTGCGCTTACTTCATTTATTTTCATACTTCTTGGATGTTGCTCTTGTACATTTGGGTTCAATATCCTTATGTCATCTTACTATGGAATGGGAAGCCATTTTATTGCCGGATCTAAGGTGGCAGAGAGCCTTTTGAAGAAAGGTCACAATGTTACATTTCTCATCAGTGAAGCTTTCTCACATCGAGCCGAAGACCCCGCATATTCAAATTTTTCATTCCAGATCTTCAAACACATGGTGCCTAAAGAAGAAATCGTTGACGTATTCAGCAATCTCATTGCCGAAAATGCATTCGAAAGCTCACAGGTGCAGCTTAAGACTGGGCTTAAAATAGTGGAGTATAATATAAACGACTGTTTATCTGTACTCAGAGACGAGGTCTTGATGGGAAACATAGAGGGGATCGATGGGATAGTTGTGGATACAGCGTGGAATTGTGGATATTTCATCAGAGATTTTTTGGAGATGAAGACCAACAAAAGTAGGAAAGTTCCACTTGTAGCTATGACACCGACACACAGTATGATGAGTTCGTTATTCGAGGATATATCACCATTTAATCGCGCCTACCAGCCCGATTTCGGTACTGGATATACCAATAGAATGACATTTCTTCAGAGAACAATGAATGTGCTCGAGAATTGGAAGTTACAACTCTTGGCTAAAGCCGTAAAAAGCTGGTTCTGCGAGATACAGAAAGAGACGGGTCAAAGCTGCCACGATTTAGATCTGCTAGAAACGTACGCAAAGGCCGATATTTTTTTGTTCAATACCCACTTTGCTGTAGACTTTCCTCACGCTCTTACACCAAACGTTATGTAGGTGGACTAACCTGCCGACCAGCTTCTCCTCTCACACAGGTACGTGCATGTGAGATGATCAGATGATGATGATGATGAATTGATGTTTATAATGATGATAATGGTGGTGCTGATGAAGATGATAATTATGAGCATGATGATGATGGTGATGTTTTATTTTACCGAAATGCTAAGTAATGAAGCGATCCAATGCGAGACGGCCCGGTGGCCAAAGCCGCCCCGCCTAGTACCGACTCAGAAAATGTTAAAGTATCACTTAGGTTCTTGAAGTGTAGAAAACGAAGATAAATCAAAGTCATTAAAACAAATTCTTGATTGGAGTTGAAGATTTATTAAAATAAACGTAGAATTAATAAATCACGAAGTTCATCTTTTGGGGCTGGGCAACCCAATTGAAGCAAATTAGCAACTCATGTCGGTATCGTAACGGAAAAGAGGTCCCGCTCCAGAGACGCAACTCGGTTTTTATCCCCCGAACTGACACGCCTCGTCCTCCCAAAAATTGAGGCGTGTCACACAGACCCTTTGCGTAATATCAATCCACCCATAATTAGTTTCCGTATTAAAAGGTCCTATATTTCTTGGCGAATTTACCCCCCCCCCCCCCCCCGGATATAAGGCGCTCCGGATGATCCGCATCTCTATTCCTCACATACTTCTTTCACGCACCCACCTGTGTCTCTTACATTCTAATCTTGCAAACAAGAGATGCAAATCACCCGGAGACCCAACAACCCTGGAAATTAATTCAATGAATATAAAAAGGGATACATGTTGCTATGTCCGTCCACACTAGCGAGCCCACATGCTTCTGGCTATTACACACCCGTAATCCTCACTTCCTCTCTCATACTATTTCGATAGTGTGAACAGACCCGGCAACAAGGAAAAACCCTTCCAATTATAATACAAATCTATTTCCCAAATTTGCCTAATTAAATTTAAGTCAACTGTGGCGACACGCCCAGCGACACCTAATCCAATCGGCCAAGCCGAAAAAGTAGAGCCAAAATTAAGAGCGCAACGTCTCGGAACAGGTGTTAAAAATAGCATACAAGGAATTCACCATGTATGTTTGTAAAAATAGTTCTAGCGAAATCTACCAGGAATTTGCCTTGTACATGTACGTCAATGAACCTTTGAGGAAAACGTAAACACGAGAATATCCATATCATTACAGTAACCAAGAGATATATTGATTTTAATTAAAGAGCAAAAGAACACATATTTCCTAAGTGCTTTTCAACTCCAAATCAGTGCAACAAAAAAGCAATGATAAGGATTGAAAAGGAAGACTAAATACTTTAGAAGAATATAAATCGAATATAATGCGGGGCTAATATCCTGGTGGAGGCACAATCAGAGGGTTAATCTGTTCTCTATTAATAAAAATAATGTTTATATGATTATAGGCCCATTATTATGTCGAATTTGGGTTTTGCCGGGGGCGCTTCCCCATGCCCCTTGGATCGACCACTGAGTGCATGTGTTGAAAGTGCCAAATATTTTTCAGTATGTGCAGCTCAAAATTAAAAACAAAATCAGAAACAAGCATCCACCGCCCCCCCCCCCCCCCAAAAAAAGAAGAAAGATGTCTCAGTATTTTCCAAATTCTATTCGTTGTCTATATAGGAGCTAGAAGACTTTGTTCAGAGTTCTGGAGATCATGGCGTTATCATCTTCACCCTCGGTACCTACTCGACGTCCATCACGACGATCAGACCCGAATTAGTGGCGATGTTTGCCGAAGTTTTCCGAAGATTGCCGCAGAAGGTCATCTGGCAGCTCAAAGAACTGCCTGACTGGGAGCTACCCTCTAACGTGAAGGCTATGCCATGGCTACCTCAAAACGATCTTCTCGGTAACTATATCACCAACTTATTATTATTTTTGATAATTTCTTATAATAATAAACATATCATCCCCTACATTAAAAGATAAACAGATGCAAATTAAAATCGAAGCGTTTTGATCAATGAATATGTTTATTATATATCTTCATAGAGAAATTTACTTAGACAAATTTACATAGTAAGTTGTGTATATCCAGCATAGGGCGAAAATGTTGTACCCTCCCACCCCCCCACCCCCCCCCCCCCCACTTGAACTACCGATTTGGAAAAAAATCTATATCTTTGCCTACCAAATGGGCAATTTTTATTTTTATAGAAAACACAGAAATTCACATTGACATTTTATACAACCAATATCACAACAATATTTTTCAACTGCATGCTTTAACATAAGCCATCTTAAAGTGAACCCATCCCCCCCCCCCATTTATATAATAGATTTACTGCTCATCCTTATATGTCTTTATTTTATTTTATTTTTAATGAAAAAAAAAGGAAATGTCTTGTTTACTTCAGACAAAAATGGGTGTTGTTTAATATAGTTTAATGCATCATTTCGCTCTTCTTTATAACCAAAAAGTATATTTGAGGTGTGAAATTAAGGCAGAAGATAAGTGAAGCTAGCATCTCCTACATTAGCCCAAATACTTTGACTAAAATGGCAGTTACAAAAGAAATGTTCAATAGTTTTCTTTTCGGTATATCGCAAAACGAACAGGGATCATTATAATGACAATTTTTTGTATTTGAATAAAGTTTCATTTAGAAACGGAACTCGATTTAAAACTATGTAATGGATATATACCTAAGTCTATAGTATCCATTCAATGGATACTATAGACTTAGGTAATCATTGTAAATCTAAAGATCGTTAAAATACATGAAGCTCTTTAAACTGCTACCTTATCAGAAATCACAACAAAATACAATTATAAAGAGGTATAATGAAGTTCAAATTGTGACTGACGTTCAAGAGGAACAGAATATAAATAATTTACAAATACATAACTTTAATATTGAGTAGCTTCCATCTGATGAGCCCCTCACAGCCCCGGGTCGCTTGTCCAGTCTCTAGGCTTGTTAGACAACGCCGCCGACTGGGCAGCTCAGCCCTGTAGTGTCTCTCTCTCTATCAGACTCCCTTCTTAACCACGGATGACGTGCAGGCAGGCTTAGATCGAGCTCCTCATTGACGAGGGTCCAATACTTTTATCGAAAATATGGAAACTTGGGCTCGCATCTCGCCTCGACGTGGAAATCTCCCAGAGAAAACATTTTTACATTTCAATCTAGCTCGTGTATCCTAGCACTAACTTGAAGGGTTCTACTGATTTTCCCTAAGCAATCTCTATTTATTCACTTTCCTTGCCTTTCCTTCCTTTCCTTAAATGGAATAGTGTAAAGTTTGTTCCAGTCTTGAACAGGTTCAGTTAAAATTGTAGCCCATTTTGTTTCAGAAATCGGAACTTTAAAGATCTTTGCAACAGAAATTTGATGAACATATTTGCATACTTTGAAAACTTTCTCTAAATTATGCAATAATTCTTCTTGGGGTGTTTCGGTTTCAGCTTGGTGCTGTAGGATACCATTTCCCATTCTTTTGAAATTGCGGAGATTAATGAGTAGTTGTAAAAAAAAATGTCATATGAGAATAACACTTACCATGCTCATCTAACAAAAGTCTTATACAAGTTATTCTAATATCTATCCCATTGTGCTTAAATATTACCATCTATCTTAATTAGAGAGTTATTCCACAACACTTGATCTTGAATGTTCACATCAGTCAATTTAGAGGAGAATGTCAACGCACTCCAAGAAAGTAAAATTTTAGGTATAAAGTGGTTCCTTACATTGGATATTTTGCCGGGGTCATTAAACTTTAAATTGCACAACCAAAACAAATCTCCCCCGAGATGTTTCAAACAGTATTCTAAAAAGCATTTCCATTACCTGTATTTTCTACATTAATCCATCGTTTTACCTATGCAATTTTCAATCCTTTAATAACTGAAGGAAGATGATTGTAACATTTTTAATCCACCTTGATTATAATCTCCAATGATTGTATGGCGGTTAATCTTATCTGGTTTTTCACTACATATAAGGAGTACATTAAATAATCAATCACAAATTCTGTGTTCCGAGTCGATGGGACCCGTCGATGTCGCTGTTTTCGATGGATACTCCAAGCTTATCTTCGTAAAAATTCTTAAGCACCTCGTCGGTATTTTCTCCTTCCTTTTCCTCTGGGCCGTGGAACACTAGGCAGTTTCTTCGCGAGTACTGTTCAGCGTCATCACGTTGATTTTCAAGATCGTTGACTCTCTTCTCATGATCATTGATTCTTTTATCCTTCTCACCTGGTTCGAAACCATAAGTTTATTTCAGTGCTTCAGCTACTTTCGTGGTGATGGTGTCGGATAGCTCATCTATAAGAGTCTGCTTTACCTTCGCCACCAGATTGTCGGGGAGGTCAAGGTTCACCTCCAACGCCTTGCATACTTCTCCTCGAACATCTACGGACAAGTCCTCCGACTCAAGGGTTGACTGTTGAATGTAATTTTTCATAATCTGCTACATTCAAGATTTTACCAATTGTAGAGGATTTTGTTACATTCGTAACATCTTTCGAGCAGTCATAAAGTACACAGTTCATATATTATTGTGGGAAAATAAAACACATAAAATGATGTACATAATAGGAAGCAAAGTCGTTCAACATCAACACCTCTGTCGCATAATTTTCTTCTTAAATGTGTTCTTGTCCGTTCTTTAGACAACTTTGCGAATGAAATAAAAAGAAAAGCCCCAAAACGATGATGATCTCCTGGTCCCAATCAGCACACCATTTGATAATCTCCCTGAAGTTTTCGTCAAAAAAGAAAATTCCGATTATTGAAAGTTGCCGTACTTTTACTCACTAATCACACTCTCTTGGGGTGGGCGGTTATATGCATCTCTGCAGTAACTGTGCGAATTGCTCCCGGAGGTTTCCCGATGTCGCCGCGGGGATGGAGTTACTCGTCAAAATCAATAAAAGTTGTAATGGAATAGTATGCACATGCGTATCTGTAGGGCTGCTCTGATTCATTATCCCACCCACCCACACAAACATACCCCTACACACATACATACCCCTACACACATACACATTAAAGAATGTTCATATTCATGAGCAGTTATTATTAAGGATATAATTATTGACTGCTTTGAGAGGCATAGTGGTTTCTATAGGGTCTCGGGAAACTCACAACCTGCTATGGCGGTCATAGCAGGTTGTGAGTTTCCCGAGACCCTATAGAAACCACTATGCCTCGAATATTAAAAGCAGTCAATATATATTTTATATACCGAAAAAAAGGAAAATGTTGACTCACCCATTTAGGTTTCCATCTCTTTGAACATGGATATAAACCGTTAACGATCGTGGATTGGTAGATTCGTCGCCTGAATGCAGCGACCAAAATCGAATTGCACTCAAACACCGTTAACGGTATTGCGCATCGGTCATCGCACAAAAGAAACTTATACGGTAACACGTAAACCAAAATGGGGATCGCAGCAAAATGACGTCACGTTTCACAGCCATGGAAAAAGTGCTATGAAAAATGGATATAAACCGGTAGAGCCGGGAAAAATGACTATGAATTTCAATTAGCGGGCATGGTTAAGAACATGACTGCATTTTCAACCAATCAGAAGACAGGATTAGTAAAGAATCTTAAAATGAGGTATATAATAGCAAATATGTAGACCTGCATGTAGCCTATTCCTTTTAATTTTCGTATCGGTATCACTGTATCACTCTTTCACCCAAAATTTTGATTTCATGATATACATAATGTTTGTGAAACGTCTAATTAACTGCATTTCAGGCTAGAAGTAGAAGTGTTATGACTCGGTATTTATCATCTTACATAACCCTCTTCTCCAGGTCATCCTAAGACCAGGATGTTGATGTACCAAGGAGGTAATAATGGTTTCCAGGAGGCCAACTATCACGGTGTACCCATCGTAGTCATTCCTCTTCACAGCGACCAACCGATGTCGCAGCCAGGATCGAGGTGAGAGGTACGGGGAAGAGGCTCGATAAAATGTCCCTGAGTGCTGATGTCATCTACGAAGCCATTGAAGAGGTCATTCGCAATCCAAGGTATTGTTAACTTTAAAAATAGAATATAGATGATAATATTTGTATATGAGAAGAAATCTTATTTCATAGAATCAGTATTGCTATAATATATTTGTTTAACAAAAAGGGTGTTCTGATACAAGTATGGAAGACATGTATGAACTAAATTTTTTTTAGTTAAATGAACACAAAATAGTCTTGCGTGCATATTATATACAAAATAGTTTATATCAAACCACTGGGTGTTCATTGAAGTCGCTCCCCCCCCCCCCCCCATCTCTGGGAATGACGCATTAGGCTACTTTTGAAAACAGATATACATGTACATTAAACGCACAGGGACAGAGGCACAGGGGGGTAAGAGGACATTTGTTTTTTTGTGTGTTTCATAATTTGAAAATTTGATCGATCGGTATTGGGGGGGGGGATAAGGTCTGTCATTTTGGGTCACCAATTACCACAATTTTTTTTTATCATTATATTAAAAAAAAAAAAAAAAAAAAAAAAAATCGCTTCGAGGGGTAATTTTATAGGATTTTGTTAAAGAAACGTTATCATTTTTTACTTTCTAATCTTCATTTGTGGCTGTCGGCTGTTTGACAATTTTGTAAGCGAAGCATTATAATGATATACAGTAAATATATCATACCAAATAAATTTGCAGGGGGTGCTGTGCCCCCCCCCCCCCCCCCTGGAAAAATTCCGGGGGTGCTGCAGCACCCCAGCACCCCCGCTTCCCAGGGCCATGGACAAAGAACGGGGAAGAGGAGAAAAGGGAATCTATTGCTTTCACTTTGCTCTTAATTTCTGTCCAAAAATCCTTGACAAAAGATCTCCTCCCTCGACCACTCACTTCAAAGAGCGTAATCTATAGGCTCTATGGCCCGAATTCACAAAGCAAGGTTTGAGCTCAAACCTCCTTTTGTTTCGCCAAACCTCCTTTTGATCTTTACAAACCAGGTTTGTAAAAAACGCGTAAAACGCGTCATATGACGTACGAAAACCAAGGTTTGTCGACAAACCTCCTTTGTGAATTCGGGCCTATTGGTCTGTAATATACGATCATGCATGATGTCGTTCCAATAGCTTCATTGTGTGTGAAAATTAGTTCTTTTAGCTGTTTTATAACCTGTGGCTCTCGGACAAAAAGGAGTCTTCAAGGTTCTTGCGCTAACACAAAATGCTTTCGATGCTTTATTTCCTCTATACACATTCAGCTCCTGCAGTTGCATACAATATGAGGCCCACGCGGGGAGGGGGGGGGGGGGGGGGGAGGGATGCCTGGTTTGGAGCAGGGAATGCGTTCCCTGAGATGAACAATTTACCATTCAGGTACCCGTCACTTCATTATATATGGGAAAAGTCGTCAGCGTCCTTTAAGAATACGCGTATGGCACAATTTGAGTATATTGAGATTTTTTGTCTATTTAATTTTCCTTTATTTATCTATTCATTTATTTCCTTCTGTTTGTAAGCGAATCTAAAATACAAAACTCTTGGCGGTGTCAACGGAACCAGAACCTCCACTATTTGAATGACGTATGTGGGAAAACTTGCCTTTATACACGCTCTGTTTAATTTGATTCTGCCTTCACTCCTGTTCTGATCAGCGTTCCTCGCATGACCTGCATAATCATAATCCGGATTTCCGAAAGCCCTACGAAAATGTATTTGTTGAAGGAGAAGTAACCCCACATAAAAACTTTGGTTCTGAGAGGTTTAATGCGTTCTTGCCCATCAATCTACAAGATTCCCCACCAAAGTGTATGAGAAAGGCATAAAGCAAGAATAAAGTAAAGTTTCTCATCAAGACATGGGCATCGCCATTTTCTCGATTGCATGACGTACTATGCTGATTTGTTTATCAACGAAATGTATTCAAATTTATAGATGCTTCCTTCCCAGGTGTTTGTGGTGTTAAAGCATTTCATTCACCTGCTATTATACTCCAATCGCCAGAACGCAGATTGCTTAAATAAGTTGGTGCTGTTCTGGGGTTAAAGGCCAAGTCCACTCCAAAAATAAAAACATTATCAAACTATGACATATCAATCAAACGATTAAGAAGGAAAAAACAAAAACAAGTATAGCATTCAAAGAGAAACAGAGGTACAGACTACATTAAAAACATGAGTGGATAATTGGATGGTGGATAGAGTAATTTTTCAGTTAAATCATGAAAAATGTGAATTTTGATGAATAATTTATAAAAGAATAAATAATTATGAATATACAATATAAAAAAAATAGTATCAATTCTTCAAAGTTCATAAAAGAGTTTGTGAAATGTCATGCCTGCAATATGACACAAATCATATAACCTAGGCAAAAGCATGGGGAAATCAAGTTTTGGGGGATAAAAAGAGAATTAATGGATACAATTTATAAAGCAACTGATAAAAAGTGAGGCCATGACGTCACAAACTGGTAACAAAATTGGCGATTTGTGTAGTGATTTCCATTGTTCCATACTTTTTCATACTTTTTCAAAAATTAATAACTTCCTTATAAATTTTCCGATTTTTCTAAAACTTTTTTTGATTGGTTTCTGTTATTAATCTGCTCCTATTGAAATTTTTTTTTTTTTTTATTGAAATTGTTTTTTTAAATAGATTTTTCAACCGCCTTATTTTAGTATTTGTAAATAAATAAGTTACAATAACTTGTTACCCTATTATATATTTTTCACCAAAAATTTAATGTAATTTTTACCTTCTCGGCTATGATTTTCCCTCAATGAAAATTAAAGGTTTTGTTGTTGAATTAAAAAGTGTTTCCAATTAAACCTTGGTGCATGAAATTTTCAAGAAAATGGCTGCGCCCGTGTCATGCTAACAGTCATAACATCATACCAAGAAAATTTAATTTAAATATCTCTTGTTCACGTTCGTAAGATTTATTGAACATCAAAAAGCAGGAATTCATATCGTTTTACAGTATATCTAGACTTATTCTTTGGAGTTATTTCCCCCTTTAATGTTTCCAACAATCGCACCGCCATTGCGAATCGATTCGAATGCAAGATATATTTAGGTTCTGGTACAATTTCTACCGCAAGGAGCGAATTCAGGAGAGACGGATGAAGGCATGAAACAATGTATTAGTTCAGTTCATAGTGATTCGTTTTGAAATGGGCATGGCGTAGCTGGGCCTCTAAAAGTCGTTCGTTAAGCATATCATAACATATTTTATTTCTCTCTTATAAAAACAAATAGATATAAGTTATATCTCTATGTATTTTTTAAAGAGAGAAATAAAATATGTCATAATGCCTAACGAACGACTTTTAGAAGCCCAGCTACGCCATGCACATTTCAAAACAAATTACTATCAGTATTGCATGATCATTTGTCCATCAATGATTTGGAAAACAAGAGGCAATTTTAGTTTTAAGAAAGACGAAATCAATTATGATTATTTTTCACTTTGCTCCTTTTAACAGATACACCAAGACAGCCAAAGAAGTGTCGGCCATTTACCGCAGTGAACCAATGAGTGGACCCGATAAGGCTGCTTTCTGGATCGAACACGCTATCAAGTTTGGTGGGGCTTACATGCGACCCCCTGTCAAAGAACTCAATTTCTTTCAATATCACCTTCTCGATGTCTATACATTCCTCTTTGGAATCGTTATGGCGTTTTTATTGGTTGCATTATATGCTTTCTGGTTTTGCCTTTCGATATGTATTAATTTGGTAAGACCTGGCAAAAGCACAAAATCCAAAGCTGACTAATTTGTGTATTCATTACAGTTCAGAGTGCAGATTGTGGAAAATAACTATACATATTTCACGGGAAACAACTGCTTCGACTTTTTAATGAAAAAAACAACGATTGTCTTGCATGTGAAAATGTCTTTGTCTTACAGGGAAATTATGTCTCACTGATTTCATGATACTATTTGTTTCTACTGGCCTTAAGTGAAAACAAATCCTTAAAAACGAATATTATGATTATATATTTAGTAATTAGAGTGAACATTTCAGAAATCGCAAATGGTAATTTATGTTGAAAGTAAAAGAAACCAGGAAGATTTGTATCTGTTTTATTACGATTACAATTGCCCCAAACAGCAATACAGTAATTTAGATGTGAGAGCATAACTAATGATGCAAGAGAGTCTTCTAATCTATACAATATCTGCACATTGAATAGAGACATCGTAGATGTATTAAGCGCGATATAAAAGCGAAATATTACTATTATTATACTAATATATTATTTAGATACCATTTGACCTCATTAATGGAACATTATCGATTGTAAGAAGTAAATTATCGAGTGAAATAGCTAATTTAGATCAGACTGCCTATATGGAAGAAGGTAATATTATGGTGAGTTTTACTAGGATTTATCAATAATTTGTTGATTTGACTAATGTATTGGTACTAATTGCTGACAGAACTTTATCTTGTAAATATATTAAACCATAATGTATTCGAATCAAACCATAATTTAATCAAATGATGTTTGCCTAAAACCATATTGGGAGTCAGGAAGACTAATTTTATGTACGCAGAATGAATATAATCTCTTATAAATGTATTTTTATAACAATTTCGATATGATTGGAAGAATGGATATGGGTTTATCGAATTTATGAGGATTAATCTTTGTAAATACAGGAGATTTTTAAAATTTTATAGTTCATCTGGGACTATGCCTGTAGAAAGAGAGAGATCGAATATAAAATCGAAAGGGTCTAAAATATAAAAGAAGACCCCTTTCATTAAAGTTGGTGCAAAGATGATCAAATCAGATGTTTTTAAAATTGAAGTATTATTACAAGAATTGGACATTGAACTGGTTTTCTGTTTACAACAGTTTATGAAAGTTGATTAAATTCAGTTGCGATATGTTGTGGATATATATTTCATTGTCATTAGTAAAATATATAGGTAAAGATATTCTAGGCTTATTTAGTAATGAATTGATTACACGTCAAGTCTTCTTTGTATTATATTTGAATGATTTTAATCTTTTAGAGTAATATTATTTATTCGCATGCTTAAATAGATTATTTACCTTTAGTTTTAGTTCAGTTTTAGTTCAGTTTCAGTTTAGTTTGTTTACTAGCAATAAACAACGGGAATGAAAACAACTCTTCTTTAAAAATACATACAATAATATAAGGTCATGAAAGTAATAATAATACTGTCGAAATAACATACGGAGATATATACAAAAAAAAAAACAATGGGATGTTATTTAAAGGTACTATGTCCCATTTGCAGGCCAAAAAATGAAAAGGTTAATTTCTAACTGCATTTGAAAGATAATACTAATATTGAACTTCCCTAAAAATTAATGTGGGGGCTTGCATAATTTGAATATTAGGACACTGCTGACGTTTATATTTCACAGATAGGACATACATGACATATTTATAATTCCTGCAAAGTTCTACAGAATGTGACTGTCGTATCTTATATGTCCATAAATACGAAAGTAAAAGCTAGATGGAAACGCCATTATTCTCGTTGCTAAGCTTACTTTATTCTGCCGGAGAGGGCAGTATTTCACTGTTTCGTACAGACAAGTTTCGTCTCTTATGACAGTCCCACACAACATTTTTAAAGAAATCGAAAAGATTTCTTTTAATTTTATTTGGGGAGGGAGAGACAGAATAAAACGGAAAATATTATATCAAGATTACTGCGCTGGGGGACTCAGAGTAACGAATTTTAAGATATTTATCAAGACTCAGAGAATAATGTGGATCAAACGGTTGCTCTATGGAGAAAAGTATTCAGGTTGGAAAGTAACCTTTGACCACTTTTTTTTCAGATCACTGGGGGGTCGAATTATATTTCTTTGTAATTATGATATAAATAAAATGGACTTGAAGGGTATACCATCTTTTTATTAAGACATGTTGAAGGCATGGCAAGAATTAGATACATGCAGACACTTTGGAGAAAATAAGAATAATCCGATTATATTTAGCAATAAGTGTATATGTCTCAGCAATAACACATTTTTTGATGTCGAACTATTTCAGAAAGGTATACTTCAAGCATCAGATATAATTGTCAGAGGTCATTTAAAACCGATCTTACATTTTTTAAATTTGGGTTTTGCAACTAAAAGCCTGCTTAGAATTCAAAATATCTTTTCAGCAATCAGAAACGAATGGATACAAAGTGATTTTATGGTAGTGGACACTGAAAATTTTGAAATAGAATTGATGATATTTGGACGTTTACAGAAACTATGTGATATAAAATCTAGGCGGTTATATGATTACTTCATTGAAGAGTATACATTACATGTTACAGATGGCAACTGTCAATTTGATCTTGGAATGACGGAGTTGAAAGAAACATTCACAAGGATGAAAGGTGCAATGCTTTGTAATAAACATAGAGAGTTTCAATACAAACAATTACAAGGGGCTGTATATACGAAAAGAGAGCTCTTTAAATTTGGTTTTGAGTAGACCATTTTTGTTCCTTTTGTAGACTAGAAGTAGAGACATACCAACTTTATTCTTAGATTGTCTTAAAGTTAAAAGATTATGGCAGGAGGTAATTCAAAAGTTACATTTAATCGAAATTGACATTGATGATTGGAAACCCATATTTATGGGAATATCCGGCAATACTGCTAGAATATTGTAATAAATTGTATCATATTTTTAGTAAAGTATATCATTTTTATTTCTAGAAAAGAAGGAACTTTGCCATCTGTACAGAAAACAGTACATTATGCTTAAAAATTACAGAGACGAGGAATACAAAATAGCCTTCAAAAAGGGGAAACTGGGGGTGCACTTACAGAAATGGGAACAAATCGATGCATTTTTACCTTAATGGATGTGGGTATTATTATTATTAGTAGTATTATTAATTCTCTCTCGTGTACAGGTGGACAAACCGGAACAGGTTGCATGCAGCGTGTGTGTCGGCGTGAAGGGGGTGTGAGATGGGTGGGCTAGGGGGGGGGGGGGGGGGAGGGGGGAGGGGGGGGGGTGAAGAGTTTGTGTGGTGTGAGTTGAGGGAAAAGGTTGCATGCAGTGTGTGTTTGTGTTTGTATGGTTGTTTATGTGTGTGAAAGGGGGTGTGGTGTGGGTGGGCTAGAGGGGGGGGGGGGGGTGTGAGAGTGTTGTGATAGGATGGTAATATGTAACTTTAAACCTTCCTCTACTGTTATTTTGATTATACACTGTTACATGCAAGACTTTTTTTTCTTTTTCCTTTTTTTTTCTCTATGTTCATTGATTGATGTAACTTATGAAATGTCTTGTATCAAAGATCTTGTTTTATATTGCTTATCTTGATAATTTCTTGTTATGTGAATTTCTTGTTATGTGAAATTATGAGGAAGGAAATAAAATATCATTTAAAAAAAAAAAAAAAAAGTTTCTGATGGATATACATAGCAAATATCACATTACTACAGTGATGTTGGCTGTAAAAGAGACAGAGTATCTTTAAACTGAAATTATACAAATATATTTTTGTGTGAAATATAGGTAAATCTAATAAAAAGCAAAGCTTGTAAATTGTATAAACAAGAGCAGTATATTCGAGAATTTAGATTATATTTCATGAATGTGATGATCTGAACATGCATTTGCGAGCGAGGGAGCACAAATTTTAAGATTTTGGAGTTCGAAGTGCGCAAAAATTACATCTTGTAAAGAGAGAGGGAGAACAATCCTGATTGGGTTTTAAGCACAATCTAATCACGTAAGACTACATAGACCTTTAGCAGGTAACATAATAATATTAACTGTAAATTCAAGCGAGCGTACAGAGCGAGCTTTGGGGAAATTACAAATAAAGTTGCTTTTAGGGGGTAGTTATTAAAAAAAAAGAAAAGGGGGTACGTGTCAAAATGAAAAGTCACTTATCAGAAGGAAAAAAGCAATTATCAGAGGTGAAAAGGGGGCGCTTCTTGCACCTGAAAAGGCGCACTTATCAGAGGTGAAATGGTCATTATGATGGGAATTTGCACTGGGGCTCTTAATAAAAAATAAAAAAGCACTTATCAGAAGGGAAAAGGTCCGTATTAGAAAGGAAAAAAGGCATTATGTCAACAAATAAAAGGGGAACTTATCAGAGGTAAAAAGGGGCACTCATCTTAGATGCAAAGGAGGAATGATCAGAAGGGGAAGGGGCACTTGTCAAAGTAAAACGGAAACCTCTCAATTTTTAAATAGAGGCAATTATCAGAGGTTAAGGGGGGCACTTATCAAAAGTAAAAAGGGCACTTTTCGTACCTGAAAAACGACACTAACCGCCCCCTTCCTGGGGGGGGGGGGGGTTCTCTAGGACATAGATAGAACCAAGATCTGTCTGTGTCAGGAGCGGCCAAAGTACAGTATGCATTTTAGTGCAGACGCTTTTACGCACAACGTACTATGACAAAGGTTTACCACTGTACAGTGCATCCCAGACAAAACGAAACCGAGAGTTAGCGATGTTTATCATAACTTAATCACAATTATAATTAATAAATGACACATAATATATTTGTAAAGCTTAGATTGTCTTCTTTCATTTGATGCAACTCATTATGGTGCATATTTCACGCATGAGTGATTAAAAACAATATGAAGAGAGGAAACAAAAAAGTCATTTGGCGGGCGGTATCTGAATTTCAAATAGAAAATCACATTTCTAGAAGGTTCATTTCCTGCCCTTTCATATGACACCTCAATCAGGGGCGTCGCTAGACTTTTTTCAGTCGGGGAGGGGTGTAGAGGCCAACGATTGCCGACGAAACTAGCCACCAATTACTGACAAAATTGAATATGGAGCCAGGAATAAAAAAAGTCCTCTTTGTTTAAAGTAATGCTTGCATTTCCATAATTTGATTAAACGAGTTCGTTTTCACTGGCTGCTTGCTGAGCACAAACAGAGTTGACAAAGAACTTGACTCCGTTTCGTTGACGATCAGCCATGCACAAAGAAGACGAGAGACTTGATGCATGGCTGTCCGTCAACGAAACTGAGTTAAGTCCTTTGTCAACTCTGTTTGTTGCTACGTCAGGCAGCAATTGAAAACGAATTCGTTTAATCAAATTATGGAAATGTTCGCACCGGTATACTTCTTTAGGGGTATTTTTTTTCTAGCCCTCAATAATTCGTCGTGTTAGCTCAATGTGTTGGCGACGGCCGCGAGAGGATGCTTATATAGCGCGAGTCGGTTTGAACCGATCTTAAGATTTTCACTAGATCAAGATGGATGCCCACCTACTATCACCCTGTGATAGTACTCTAAAAGCCTCTGATGCAATAATAAATCGAGATGCTCCTTGTCATGTGACCTCGTTTAGTCCAATCAGATTGCAAGATTCTTTAGTATACGGGATATATTAATATCTTATATTGTGTTTTGCATATAGTAACTGTTCACTTTACATTGTGTACTTTTTTTATAAACACTACATATTGTACTTTCTATAAAACAGATCAAATTTGAAAAGTAAGTATTTTTTTCTTCAAAGAAAGGACTTATGATGGATGTGCATTAAACTCATTTGGAAGTGTTCAGGTCGATGTTATTGCTTCTCTATTGAAGTAATTGTGTACATTGTGAATTTAACATCAGAAGCGCAATTTGATTTATTTTACATTGTCAACAACTGACATGGTAATCCCTATCGCACTTCGAAATGCTCAAGGGGTTACAATTTTACAATACTTGTTTAGGAGTACACTTTTTTAATTACCCGGCGTTTGGGGTGTAACTTCGGGGAAAAAAACAGGTGAAATCATGTATTTTGGTTCACAATAAATACTCGTTTAGGGGTACGGTCTGGAAAAACTGTGGTCACGCATGCTTACAGTACATGATTGCAGGCACGAAGCCAGAGTTTGATGTTTGGGGGGGGGGGGGGGGGGGGGCACATACATGTCATCGATCGAGGTAAAAGAAAGGGGTCTAAAAAAGTTCAATCGATCTTGGATTTTTTTTTTTGGGGGGGGGGCACGTGCCCCCTCCCCCGTGCCCCCCCCCCCCCCCCCGTGGCTACGTGCCTGCATGACTGAGACTCTCGGGGATAGCCGTCGTGATCGACACAAACTCTAATCCATCCCTTGAGAATTAAATCGCACTGCCCTCATTGTGTGCTCCTTTTAAAGAGCACAAAAAGCCCTCAGATTAAATGCCATCTCATTCCGCACAACATCTAATGGGATGATGCCTACTTTATTGAGTTATTCATCTATAAAGTAAGATTAATTCTTCACCTAATATTATAGGGACCTTTCATACACATTGTTACCTTTCTTCGCTCCGGTGATCTCGAGGCAGCAGGCAGCAAATTGTGTAATTGATTTTAAAAAAAAGTCAAAAGGAGTGGTTGTTAGAAGCTTAAACTAAAACTCGCACTATCCCCTAAGGACAATTTTATACAACAAAAGGTTGTCTTGGAAACCACTTATCTTTACGGATGGGGTGCAGGGGGAGAGCCTTTGTCGGGAATCTAGGGAGCAGAGCCTCAGGAAGTTCTTGAATGTTTCGAAAAATTTAGAAAATTCAAAATAGGCCTAGCTATCACGAGCGATAGAAATTGTAATTTCATCCTTAAAAGTCACATAGCCCCTTTCATTTATTTTAAAACTAATGCCTCCGGATACTTCGTAACGGAGGCATAATAACCTCTCTTTTTCTCTTAAAGACTATTTATAAAATTTTGTTTTCGTATTGTTGTCCTTCGTCGCAGTCTTCTTTAGGCACATTATCAGGCCTGAAGCCAACCCATCGGATATGTAATCTAATTAAATGTAAATTTAAGTTTCATATTCTTCCTTTTTTTCCCCTTTCATTTTCTCTCTCTCTCTCTTTCTCCCTTTCTCTCTCTCCTTTCCCTTACCCTCTACCTTGTTCTCTTTTACATCATTTTCTCTTTCTTATATCATTTTCCTTCCGTCATTCTTTTTTTTCTTTCCCATTTCCATTTTTAGGCTACCAGAATGGAGAGCCGCGGCTGATTCGCCGCCCCCCCCCCCCCCCCCTCGATGAGCCAGTGATTTATGCGTTGATGCGGGCAGTACGCATAACCTGCGGCGGGACTTTCAATTAATGTCGGGGGCAAACTTGATTTTTTTTTGGGTAGTGCTTTTTAACCCCCACCCCCGAAATATTGGTCGGGACTTTTTTCAAATTTCGAGGGGGAAAATGGAACAAAACAAATAGTGCCCCCCCCCCCATCCGCCAAATATGTTCACATCTTAGACAGATATCAGCACCACATGTCTTAATCCTACTCTTTTATTTGTTTATTTGATTAATCCTTTACGCTGGACATCTGATGGGCTTGATAGTTTGTAGCCCCACTGTAATACACATAGATTACTAGTAGACCTAAAAAGGCTATAGTAGTATATGCCTAGTAAGTCCATGGTATATTGTAGTAACCAATTAAAGTAAAAAACTTCGGTCAAGCCATGCATTGATGGTGTCTTTACAACGGCATTCTTTTCTGAGACAGAGTTTAAAATTTCGTTATTTCAAATGTGTTTTTTTAATTGTATAATTATCGATCTATGTTGGTGCTATGTTGGCTTTCCATACATGATTGACTCGATATCTTTTTTTCTGCAAAATTATCGTGATTGGAGAAATTGGAAAACGCGATCACATATCGCGATCGAGAACCGCGCGGCTGTACACTGTGCCGCGGCGCTTAAATTGTTGCATATCGATATCATGCACCCATATCCATAGCAGAAATGGCGCAGACCTGTCTCGCCGCTCTTGGGGAAAAAAGCTAGCAGTCCCTGGCTATCATCTTTTCTGCTTAGACTTTCTAGGTAAATTCATGAAGATATTCAACTTTTTTAACTGTTAGTTCTTCTTATTAAGTTGAAGTAGAGTCTACGGTATACAATTGACCGATAGTGGGGTGCAGGCGCGCGCGTGTGTTAGCGACTGTCATCTAAACAATTCATCAATAGGCGAGTCTACAGTTAGAGGCGTAGGGCCTAGAGCATTGTTCAATGGAAGGAGAACTAACCCACATTAATAATTTAAGTTGTTCTGAGACTTTCCTAACTAGGTCTAGAATAGAGTCTAGTCAGCTAGTGTCTTTTGTACGATTTGTACAAATTGTAGTAGGGCCTAGATCTATTGTACGGTAGATTGTAGATATTTATTGCATTCTTGCCCATTCATTCAATCTGCAGTGTAGGCCAATGTCATGATGTAAGATTCCCCACCAAAGTTTTATACTAGACCTCTGGCCCTAGTATTAGTAATAGTATGAGTATGAGAAAGGCATAAAGCAAGAATAAGTACAGTTTCTCAGCAAGACATGGGCATTGTCATTTTCTTGATTGCATTACTTCTAGTCTATATATGCGGAGTCATTTATCAACTTAATGTATTCAAATTTATGGATGCTTCCTTCCCAGGTGTTTGTGGTGATGAAGCATTTCATTCACCTGCTATTATTATTCATTATCCTTTGTACTTGAAGCCCACTCCAATATGCCATTTTCGTAATGTAACCAAATTATGCATATGTCTTTGTGAAGTGCCTCAATACAAATTATTTCATTCACCTGATAAGAATAATAGTAGGTCTATTTCAATAGTCAGAATGCAAATTGCATTCTACTAAGTGATGCTAGAGTCTACATGTAGGCAGGTCAAGCCATAATGTTTGTCCTACCTGGCAAACATGCCAAAACGCAAATTGCATATAGGGCCGAAATAAGTTGGTGCTGTTCTGGGGTGACGGTTTTGCATAAATGAGATTTTTCAACCACTATATTTCAGTATTTTTAAATAAATGAGTTACAATTGTTACCCTAAGGCTATTACTTGGGCCTATATATTTTTCACCAAATGTATTTTTTACCTTCTCGGCTATGAAAGTATGATTTTCCCTCATTAAAAAGTAAAGGTTTTGCTATTGTCTTTCGAATAAACAAGTCTTTCCAATTAAAGCTTGGTGCGTGATACATGTACAACTCCAACTGGTACGTCACATTTTCAAGAAAATTGCTGCTCCCATGTCATGCTAAAAGGCATAACATAATGCCAAGAAATCTTCATTTCATTATATATCTCTGTACAAGTTTGTAAGATTTATTGTACATCAAAAGGCAGGAATTCATCTTGTTTTACAGAATATCTACACTTATTCTTTGGGGTTAGTTTCCCTTTATTTGATGGAAAACTGGGCACAACTCAAAGTCATATCATGGGGGGGGGGGGGTGTCCAGACACCAAATTAAACGAACAATAAGTCACTATTCATGAAATGATTGAAATAGCATTAACCATCATGAACATGTTGTCCTTTATGATATTTTTTAACATAAGTTAGAAGATTTATAAAATATTGCTAGTATTGCCTCTTCAAATTGCTGTTTTAAATCTCTGATTGTATTACTACTACTATAAGTACTAGGCTACACTACCTGTCCAGACATGCAACATCTGGATTCCTGGGTATATGGTGATATGACCATAGTTGGCGCGTGACCTAGATTCTTCATCTCAAAAAATCAGTAAGATTTCAAAAAACTGATACCACCAATGGAAAGAGGAATCTTAAATTACTTGTAGAGTTGTTTTCTTCTATTGAAATTTGAATTGGGTTTGAAAGTATGAAAATATTGATAAAAGAATGGCAACTTTTATAGTCTTGTGCAAGTTTTCTTGATTCTTCTTTAACAACTAGTTTCCTTCCTGCGGTCTGGACTTTTATTATTCTGTGTAACTTCATTTTGCTATAACAACACACTTTCACTTAAATTTCAGAATTTTTCAGAATATGGCAGCAGGTTTCTTCAAGTGAATATCTATGAGAGGTCAAGCTATAGATGGGGAGTTGATTTTTGTTCACACCTGCAGAACATTAACTTGCTGAACTGGCAATTTTTCAAATCATGGATTTGAAAACTGATTTGGATTGTCTGATAGAATGTCTTCGATATTGTTCTGACGATGCAACAAAGGCACGTGATACAATCATTACAATTGCTTCGCTGTGTTCTGGTTCAGGTATGCCTACTGTAAACAGAGATTCACATTTCAATGCTTATTGTAATGATACAGCTAGTGGTATAGATATAGGCATAGATTGAGCTGTTCATGAGATCAATAGATTTTGTATTTATAGACTCTATACTTGGAAGATCTTTAGGAGACTCTCTATCTCTTCCTCTCTTTTTCTACTCTTAGGTAAAGGGGGGGGGGGGGTGCAATACTATGTGGCATCTAGCCGTTGATCATTAGATGGATGGAAGCTTTAGCATGATCCCGGTAATAAATCAATCAATCGTTTAGTGTGCTGTGGAACTGTATAAATATATGCACTCACTAAAAGGTCTCGAGTTGAATTCAATTTTTGTTTAAATCTTTCTACTTATGTTTGCTACAAAGATCATTGCCTCATTCTGTATGTCAGGATATCATATATTACTTATTTCTTTTTTTTCTTTCCCCAGATGAAGCGCAGAATTTATTGAGAATTTCTGGAGGTTTAAGCTTTATTGTGAACCTCCTAAGCACAACTCCAGATGAGGGAACCTGTGTTGCTGCTCTGTATGCATTGGGATGTGCAACTGAGAGGAATGGTAATACAGTCAAACCTGTCTATAGCAACCGCCCAAGGGAAACACAAAAAGTGGCCTTTGTAGACAGGTTTATGCAGGTTCCTTTAGTACATATTTCAATGAGAAACCAATTTCAAGGGAAACAAAAAATGTGGTCCTTGTAGACAGGTGGTCACTAAAGCAAGTTTGACTGTATTTAGTTTTATTAATCAATTAGGGTGCCACCAAGTTAAATAAAGGGCAACTTCTGACTATATTTGCAAGTTGAATTTATTAACTGGAGAAAAATTAAACAAACAAAACTGAAAGTTTCATTAAGAATTGGATAAAAAGTAAGAAATTTAATTTTAAAGTTTATGGGCTGTATTCAAATACCGGTATTGAATTGATGTTGTCATCCCCTCACTTTTCCTATCCGTTCTGTACATGGAAATTTGACAAAACCATCAATTTTCCGCTCTAGGAATTTAAAGGATGGCTTGAATCCTCATACAATATGTGCAAAATCACCATCAATGTAACTTTAAAAAGAATTTTCAAGAGTATGTGACATTCTTTCAGAAGGGTATATGTTTGACTATTTACATGATAGAATTTTATCTGGATTTGAAAATAAATATACATTGTATATCTTTTTCAAAAATATATAATTTTTAAAACGTATTCTTTGCCTCTCTTTTTCCAGTGTTCTCTCAGAGTAGGCTTTGTACAGAAGCCATGTTCAAATTTCTCTACTGTCAGCTGACAAATGAACACTCGGGTGTACAAATGAAAAGAACAACTACATTCCTTATCATGTGCCTTGTCACCAATAATGGTAAGAATAAATTCTCCTTTCATTGTTCAATAGATTTATGTAATTTAATTGCACACTGATGTCATAGGCTCATGACATTTTGATACAGAGCTTTGTCATATTTGTAGTGGTATGTAATGAAATATGTGGGATGTCTAAGGTATAATCATTAGAAATTGGCCTCGTTAGGAACCATAATATAAGGTGTTGGAGTCCTAAGATGTATCAGAACTGTCATTCAAAATTAGTCTGATTTCCGCAAACAGCCCTCGAGATATGACATAGAGAAGGATAATTGACCAAAATATAATTTGATAACATTGTATAAAATATTGTGTAATCCATTTGTTGTAATAGCCCCCTTTTTATTATGCCTCCGCCACGGAAGGTGGTGCCGGAGGCATCATGTTTTCGGGTTGTCCGTCCGTACGTCCGTCCGTATCCGTCCCGTTTGACCGTTATCACAATATCTCAAGAACCATTTAAGATTTAAACTTAAGACTCGGGAATAGTATTTATCACCATAGGAAGACGATCTGATTAGATTTTGGAGTACGTAGGTCAAAGGTCACAGGTCACAGAGGTCAACTTATGAAATTCCTTGTATTGAGTTTGTTAGCGCGATATCTCAAGAACCATTTGAGATTTAAACTTCAAACTTAAGGATAGTATGTATCACCATAGGAAGACGATCTGATTAGATTTTGGAGCACGTATGTCAAAGGTCAACTTATGAAATTCCATACATTGAGATTGTTATCATGATATCTCAAGAACCACTGGAGATTTAAACTTCAAACTTAGTGATAGTGTGTATCACTATAGGAAAACAATCTGATTACATTTTGGAGCACGTAGGTCAAAGGTCAAGGGTCATAGAGGTCAACTTATGAAATTCCATACATTGAGATTGTTATCATGATATCTCAAGAACCACTGGAGATGTAAAAACTTCAAACTTAAGGATAGTATGTATCACCATAGGAAGACAATCTGATTAGATTTTGGAGCACGTAGGTCAAAGGTCAAGGGTCACAGAGGTCAACTTATGAAATTCCATATATTGAGATTGTTATCGCGATATCTCAAGAACCACTGGAGAATTTTCACTTCAAACTTAATGATAGTATGTATCACCATATCATAATATCTCAAGAACCACTGGAGATTTAAACTTCAAACTTAATGATAGTGTGTATCACCATAGGAAGACAATCTGATTAGATTTTGGAGCACGTAGGTCAAAGGTCAAGGGTCACAGAGGTCAACTTATGAAATTCCATACATTGAGATTGTTATCATGATATCTCAAGAACCACTGGAGATTTAAACTCCAAACTTGTTTAAATTGCTCTATGGCGGAGGCATCATTTTCGACTGCGCGCAGTCAAAATTCCATCTAGTTTCCTTCTGGAATCTGGATTAAAACATCAAAAACCTGAATAATCTTATTGCATTTTAACAGTATAATAAGTCCTGAATGTTGATTATGGCTCATTACATGTGTGATAGTTTTATAATGCATTTTCTATGAATAGGTAAAGGACAAACGTTGGTCAGAAAGACTAAGTGCTTGGATGCCTTGCTTCAGTTATTCAGGTAAAGTTATTATTTCTAAGTTTAAAAGAAAAAGTACAAAATGTTTTGTATATGTATGTATCAAGTGTGTGATGCTCAAGTACCAAAATGTTATATCTTCTATCAGTTACAGGGTAAGATTTATTCAAGACAAATATTATAATCTTGAAGAAATTTAATGTGATGAATTATCTTTGCTATTTGATCAGCTTTGTACTTTTTCCCAAAAAAATTGTATCTGTTTGTTACATGATTATAAATTAGGTCTTGATGTGTTAAAATCTGCAACATTTAATATGAGAACAGACCTTTCACTACTTGTAGAAGCCATTTATCTTTTGAACATACTTTCCATCAATTTACAATATTTTCCTACACCTTGAAGCAGAATTAGCTGACAGGAAAAGAAATTAAAACATACTAAAAATGGAAGGGACCCCACCCACCCAACAAACATACAAAAAAACACCAAAATATATATTTTGCTAGGTCACATCACATCAGCTTGGAGTGCAATTCTGTGTGTGTACAGGTTCATTGTCATTGACCAGTCTGCCCACAAGACACCATCACCTTTATTTATAGAGTACATTTACATCTGTAGTATCACTTTGCAGAATCCATATTTTTATATTGACATTTTGAATATCATATGCTGGCATGGAACCCCCAAGCATACAGATCACAATATATTTGGCTTCTTTCAAATTCATGCACAGGCAGTTCCCAGGACTTCACCTTCCATATCATGCAGATGTGAGGTGTTCAGATGAAGAGGATCAAAAGCTCTCTCTGGAACTATGGAAAGATGTCACAGGAACTCTGTGTGGTTGTGTGAACAACCCCCAAAATGGTATGCATGATTTCAGTGCACCATTCACTATAGTGTGCAATGCAATTTTTTAATGATTTATTGAGTGTTAATGTTAATAATCCCTTCTTGTATAGCACATAACACATTATGATAAATTATATCAGCCCTATACGCTTCCAAAGAGCCTTGGAAATCATTCCCCTAGCATTAGATCCGGCAGCTGTTTTCAGTGCACAGTGCATTTCAAGGAATAATCCTACCAGGTACCTATTTACTTAATATGATATACTTTTAGTCACATTAAGCCAATCTTGCTTCCCTAAAAAGTTTAATACAAATGTTATTTCAGAGTAGATTGATTTAGTGTGTGTACAAAGTATAAACAGAATTCCTTTTAAAAAAGATGCACGGCCATGTGGATGTTCAATGAAGAAGAATAGCGTTCATACTTTACGTCCTACATTTTATTGGAGGGAGGGGGGTGGGGCAATTTTCTTGATTCTTTTAATTTCAATGTAATTTGTTTGCAATCTGCATGAAAAATTAGAAAAAACAAAGAATTTGAATTTTTAAAATCATACTACGCATTTTCAGTGATAATTTGTATCTTTCTACAGATGAAAACCAGTTGGTGTGTGCATCCAGTATTCCAGCTGCCCTCTACATCATGTCTCATGTACATGCTTCTTATGTCATACAGCTTTTGTGCTCCTACATCTCTCTCTTAGCAGCTAATAATGGTAAAGATGCATATGTTTTTTTTCCTTTCAATCTCTCAGAATAGCTGCTTAAAACAATCCCACAATCACACATCTTGAAATTATCAAAATGTGAATTGCATTTTACAAAAAAGTAATAGATGTATACTTGTATGTTTTTTCCCCCAGTACTAGTGTAGTAATAGAATATAATGAAACTGTATATTGAACTGAAGTATAACATAATGTGCCTAATGATTCTGTTGTGAAAACCCAAACAAAGATTTTTTTTCTAAATTTTTTGAAATGAGTATATATCAAGACATAGCAAGTCTCAGGCCAATGTTTGTTTTTGTCAATTTGACACACATATTCTCGACCAAGTAGACTGACTCTACTTTTAGAATAAAGCTAAAAAGCGACTAAATTGCTTGACACTACACAATTTTTGAATGTTATTGTTGCATCAATCCTGAAATCTTACTCAAGGTGTCCGATAACCCATGGCCAGTCAATTTGTTTGTTAGTCCCAGGAATTAAATATATATTGATGTATCATCTCTATCTTGTTTCTTTACTTTTTTTCTTCTGCAAGCGGTGAATCAAGATCGTTTTCATATGCTCGGTGGGCTGGGGGTCATCGTATCCAAATTGACCTCTGTCATTGATGACATCATAATGGAGCCTGAGAAGGGTTTGACCTCGTCAGCTTCCAACATGATCAGCATGCTCAGCTCGGTGGTTGCAGAAAATGGTAAGTGCTCATTTAGTTTCCTTGAATTGTTACTAATTTTATTGTATGAATTAGTGTGAGCTCCATACCCTTTTATGATATGATGTATGTTATCATTTGTGTGAATTATCTACCGGTAAACATGATTTGACCTGATGTTGCCTTTAATGTTCATTGTATCTCTGAACTTCAACCCCTTCTAACCCATAAAAAAAGTATACACATACAGGTAAGTCAAGTCATTTTGACCCATATTTTACCAAATATCCAAGTAAAATGACACTTTTGTAATGAATTTACGTTCCTTATACCATAATACCATAGTACACGTGTTGGACATCAACTGGTCAATTACAATGGACATGCCCATATAGGACATTAAGGAATTTATATATATATATATATATATATATATACCTGTATATATCTGTGTGTACTACCTGGTAATTGTTTTCACGTACATACTGCATATCAAGAAAAATATAATTGGGCCATTACTCATGTATATCAAAGTAGTTTTTTAATTTTTTTTTAATGTGATTACAATGTATATCTCTTTGAATATTTATATTTTTGTCTTATAATTCATCTTTCCTTCCCTTTTCCTTTGCAGACAATAATTTGCAGGCTTTAGCAGCCCTGAAAGTTGTACCTCTCCTTTTGAAGTTGTTAGCTTTAGAGGTGATCTCTCAAGGTGTTAAGTTAAAGGTCATCATAACACTCGGCTGTTTAGTTTCTGCAGATGGTAAGTGTAGCCCCACTCCTTCCCTCTTCCCTGCCCCTGCTTTCGCCCCATCCCTTTCCCTTATATTATATATTGATTAAAAATGTATAGAGAGAACCAAATTCAAAGAATAAAATTGCATTAATGCACATGCAAGAAGAAATGTTTTCTACGAAACATTTATTATACATGGTATTGGTCTATAATTAGCTTTATGTTTAAACCCATTGGAGAAGAGTTAATTTTGATTGAGTATATACTTCCAGTCAGTTCCATCCGAATTTCAAGCTTAGTATATAATGGATCAATGTTATGATTGTTTGTATTTGTGAAATACAGAAATCCAGTGAATATTCTATTTAAGAAAGTGGTGGTTATCTTGTATTCAGCTATTCCACTTCATAAAGTTTACTGCATTGTCTACCACTTTACATTATTCACAATTCATCTTTCAAATCTCAGTTGCTACCATGTGCTAGTTGAACAAGGAGCACTTTGATAGCATTGATATCTCTCTAATTATTATATTTTGACTATTTGTTTGAAGAGGGAAGCAAGAAGCAAGTTCATGAGTGTGATGGTCTGAAATTACTTCTTGGCTTCATGATGGCCAATCAAGATGAAGAGTGTGCTAAAGCTGCAACGTTGGTCCTCCATTCTTGCATCAATTTTGGTAAATTTTACGAGTAATTGTGGTATCTTACTTTTGTTCCTTTGTTTATAATGCAGATGATTTTATAAGATCTCTTTCTTTGATTTTGTTCAACAAGTGCTCCTTGAGCGTTGATTTCAAGCGAGTTTTGCGCCTTTTCGACCTATAAAAAAATTTATTAGCATTATTATTAAAGTTGATGTCGTCCATTTCAATCTCCTTTTGAGATTCAGAATTATTGAAAAACAAATAGCAAACTGTAGAATTCCAGAAAACTCAACTTCAAAGGTGTAGAAAAGAAAAATTAATGATATTTCATCTCAATGATGCAAGCCTGCAGCTACGAAATATATTTGTTGTGGGGGAGGGGGAGGGGGGGGGGTGGAGAAGAAGAGCATGTTACTCAAATTGTTTAGCTTAACATCAAAATGAACCATTACCAATAATGTGTATGTATAAACTGTTTGGTTGTGTGCAAGCAAAAGGTTGCTAATAGAAAGCACAGTGGCATCGTTGAGTGTAAAGATTGATACCTGTCTTTGAAGCAAAGGTTGTCGTGTTTGCATCTTAGTATTACATTGCTCTTGGGTATGTTGTTTAAATGTCTAGGTTCCCTTACTGACTACCTACAATCAGTTTACTCACTTTCATAGCATCTCTGAAAAAAAATGGGAATTAGTCAATGTATCAGTTCTTTTATTGACATGTATGTCTGTATACCTTGCAGCAGAGGAGGAGATAAAAGACGATGAGTCACAGACGGGAGATTGCTCGTCTGAAAATGAAGGTCAGGCAGTAGAGCGCCCTCTCATGATCAGCAAAGGACAACATAAAGATCTCGAGGCTAAAATTGACATTCTCCAGAAAACATTACAAGAGGTAATTATGTGACATAAGTACATATCCATCATGATTTAGGAGATAGATGGGCTGTTTAAAAGTTCTGTTATTATTGATGCTACAGTATGAGATACATTGAGCGTAACTGTCGCCACTGTTCACATTTAAGGGGCTCAAGGGCATACATTTAAGGGCAGAATAATGGAATAATTGGCTAACTTGATGATGAATATGTTTGTAAATGATTATTTATGTCACAATTTACATTTTAAAATATTTATGTCACTCTCTGGAGCTGTAGAGTATTATCTGGATTTTAAAAATAATTCAGTGTAGTATATATATATATATACCCAGGTTAGTTCACTGTACTTGACAAAAATGAGAAACATTAAGTAATTGAGTAATTAAGGCAAGTTTTTTCTGGAACGGTCCAGTCTTGGAAGAAAACAAAGTAGAATGGTCTTGATTGATGGTTGTAAATGTAAAATTGACCCCACATATATTTACTTCCCTACATGCAATAAAAGGAGAGAAGATTAAGGAAGAGTCTTGAGGATGAGAAAGCAACTCTTCCCCTTTGCAATGAAAAAAGCAATACTAGTGCCAGCAAGGAGGATGATGAAGCCAGTACATGCACTCCAGATCTGCCACCCAAACCCCATCCCAAACCTCCTGCATCATCTGCAGAACACCAAGGAGGAGAACAACAGGTCTGTTTGATATTCAGTCATTTATCGTGTTGAAATGTACATGCCTTTAGTTCCAAAATATGTGTGAAATGATTTACCGAATGTACAAAATAATGTACTTTCTTGATCCATAAATATGAAAATTTCAGCTATTTTAACGATCGGTTTCCCTACTGGACAGTACTAGTCTATTGATGGTTAGAAGGGCAAACAACTCATGTAATTCCACATAGAGTATAATGCCCTTCTGACTCTCAGAAGATGAAAGGAAATGATGTTAAATGCAAGATAATACTTATAAGGCATGCAAGAGGACTAATAATTATTCTTGTTTAGATTTGATAAAACAGGTGAAACATTGATAGATAGTACATTGATAAAACATTATTTATGTACATCTGTGACATTTTTTGTTGTTGTAATAATGGTATTAATGATAATAATTATAATAATGATGATAATAATGTTGATGATGATAATGATGATGATGAAACTGATGATGATGATAATAAAAGTAATGATAGTAATAATTATAATGATAATATTGATAATAATGTTGATAATGAATAATAACGATAATTAATTATTAAGAATTTAAGCCCATGGAAATGTATGTTAAGATAAGTTAATATAGTGTGAGGTAACTAAAATGCCATTCCCAGAGTTTTTCTCTAACTAATGCAGTTTCTTGTGTGTTTTGGTTTTACAGCTCTCACGCAACCCTGATATATCCATCCAGTCACCGTCTAGCTTTGTACAACTACAAGAAAGGATGAATGCTTTGGAACAAAAACTTCGTGGCATAACCAGTGACAGATCTGAGATAGACATGAACAATAACACTACCATCAGTGAAACATCAGGTTTGTTGTATGATTTCATTTAGAGCCCATTTCTCTATCTCCTCTATCTCTCCTCTTTTGCTCTCTCTCACTCTCCCCCACTCCTCTCTCTGTTATTCTGTCTGCCCATCTGTTTTTGTCACTGTCTCCCTTTCTAATTTCTCTACCCCCTCCTCTTCTCTCTCTCTCTCTCCTTGTTTATATAGAAAAGAGAGTGTTCACCTCACAGTTAATTATGTTACCAAGATTTGAAATATATTCTGCCCATTTTCTGCTGTCTTCATAAGATGTAAACCTATTATTCTATTTTACATATTCACATCTTGTCACTTTTGTACAAATATTACAGTTGGAATCTAATGATGAAGAGCAGCATGAATTGAAATGTATCATTATGTTTTTCTTTATTTTGTCTTGCAGATTCTGAATCAGCAGAGGATGTTCATCGTTCAGTCTCTGAGGCAGAAAATGATGAAACCAAACTGCCAGATGAAAATGTTCCTGAAGACAGTATGAGACGTTACAAGAAGGCAACTCTTCCTATCACCAAACAGAACGCTATTAAAGAAGCCTGTCAGCAGCAGGTTACAACAGAGAAAGACCAATCCAAAGAAATGCCACTGTTCAAAGTGCCTCCTCCTATCAAACGGTTTAGGCCTCTCGACCTTGTTCGTGGCAACATGTCTATCAAGAAATTTAAGTCCATTTCACCAGGAATGAAGCCGCTTCCCCCAAGAATCAACCATCGACGGGACAGGGGCGAAGTAACTCCTTCAACAAAGGTGCAGACGGTTGATCTTGCCGGTCTTAAAATGCATCAAGAGTCCTTGGATCCATGTGTGCTTCCTGGGTGTAGCTCTGGTAAAAGATCAAGGAAGAGGAGGTCAAGCAGCAGCAGCGTATATAGAACATTAACATATAACGGTGGTGGAGGTGTTCGTGGTGGCTTGATAGCTAAGCCAAGGAAAGCGAAGCAGATGAATCAAGAAAGTGATTCCGATGCTGATAGTGAATGTAGTGATGTCTCAGAGGTATCATCCATTGCCGATAGTGTCTTCAGTTCCTTGAATGTTCACCTCTCTTGTCCTATCCGACCAGTCAATCATAATCCTCCTCCACCGATCAGACACATTCCTTCTGTTCAGCCTGCCAAACAAAGCCCTAAAGTAGTTATGAGGCCAATGAGATCAACGAGGCATATGCTGATGCCTGAGCGGAGAAATGTCAAGGAATTTTCCAAGAAATGTGGTAAAGACCCTGACACTGTCGCAAAATCAAAGGACAGTGTGTTTGATTTTGAAGATGGCATGGCTGACTCCAAGAAGGAATCATCACATAGGGCCTCGTCCAATCCTGCCATTCATGAAGCTATCCACAGCAAGAGTTACGAAAGGCATTCTTCTACCCACGCAGATCCGTTTACACATGACTCTTTAAGCGACAATGTCATGGCCAAACTGAAAGCAACACCCAAGATCATGCTGAAGAAGGCTTCTTTGAAAGGAAAGAACTTGAACATGTATATCTATGATGGCAAACATCAAGCTGTAGACTCAGTACTCAGCAGTGACGGTAACAAACAAGAAGACAACCAAGGTTTGGATGAGCATTTGCCATTTCCACCAACTCACCACAATGGGTATGGATCACAGAAAGAACCGGCCAGGATATTCACCAGCAGGGGGAGTGGCACCAAGGGGAGTGGAAGCAAGACAAAGTCCTATTCCGTGCACTATGTCAGAGGCAAAATCCAGTGCAGTCGTCTGTACAGAGGCGCATCTCGCAGTAGGAGTAGAACACCTGATGTCTGTAAGTCTACACCTTGAGGTGAAGGTTGTTTGGTTTAATAAAATGTGATTACCAAAGCTTTCCAGTAGCATGGATATTGATAAAGCTTTTCAAAAATGATCCATTGATTTCCAGAAATGCAAGGAAAATTCCATGATTATTGCTTAGTATTTTACATTATTAGTTCTAATATTTTTAAGAGGCATTATGTTTTTTGCAAGTGCTTAATTATCTCAGGTATTTGATTTCTAGGTTGTAAAGATGAAGAAGATTCGTTACATCAGGAACATGTCTGATTATTATATCAAGGTTATATTATTTTTATGCCTTCGCTACAAAGTAGCCAGAGGTATTATGTTTTCGGGTTGTCCGTCCATCCGTCTGTAGGTCCCATTCTCATGATCGCTTTATCTTAAGAACCGATTAATGGATTCCCATAAAATTGGGGTCATGTATGGATCATGCAGAGCCAATGATCTGATTAGATTTTGGGGTCACGAGGTCAAAGGTGAAAGGTCACATGACTCATTATGTATGCAAAAATAGCTTGTAATTACGATTTTCTGCAAACCTGTTTTTGAAATATTAGATTACAATCAAAGTTTAAAAATCGCATTATGGCGGAGGCATCATTTTCGACTGCATGCAGTCTAAGATCCATCTAGTTTTATTTAATTTTTAAAAAAAACTTATGAAAAATAAAGATTTGCATTGGTACAATTCTTAAGTATGAATGTTCATAATGGTTAATGAATAAAAGGAAATTTATTTTCAAAGTGGTGGTTGTTATACAAGCATTGTTGTCAAGTTATATCATAACATCAAGGTGATTAACTAGGGCACTCATATTTCAAAATGAATTTTTTGCATACAATCTGAAGATCTTAAAAAAAATGTCTATTTTTGTTCTTAATTCTCTCATATCTCTTTAAATTCTCTTATTGTTTCCTTTTTGCTTAGATTCCTCAACTCTGCTGACATGCCCAGGTCAGTTCTTAGATTTTCATTTGATTTTTTCTAATAGATATTTATTCATAAATCATGAAGGTTGTGATGAATTTGTAGTTGTAGACATTCCTTGTACATAGATGTAATTGAAATGCATGCATGTAACATGAGTTTATTGCCGTGTTATGAACCAGAGCAATATAACACTGAGCTCTAGCTATAGCAAATCTTTTTATTCAGATGGTTATATCTCAGCCTATACTTAACCTTTTCAACTCGTTTTCAACATTTGGACATTATTTTCTATGCTCTTTCGTAAAATGAAGAAAAATTGAGAAATTCTAAGAATAGATTTTTATGATGTTACAGCTTCGGTACTCTATTATTCTCCTTGAGGGATCTTTTTAACTTTGTTCTTTTTGTTCTTGTTTTTTTTCCCTTCTCAATACAGGTTGTGTTCCCCCACGACACCGCCCCCTCCTTGACAGTCACACATTGCTTCCTAACCTTCTTGCATCCAGACATGGTCTATGCAGAAAGCATAACAGGTTGATTGCCTCTATAACATCCTACATCTCAAGCAAGATGAACCTGTTTGGTCTGTAATTTCACGTACTTTCCCTGTCGCGTTCTCCAAGAACACCTTTAAAAATTGCATACTAAGCCAGACTCTTAATGGATTCAAAGTTGATCTGTACAGGAAACATGGCTCATTAATTGACTTTCTCACTGATTGCCAAACCGTTTCTGTGAAGGAAATATGGTTTAGTGGATGGACTCAAACAAAGGCTACATCTCCAAGAAGATGAACTTCTCTGGTCTTTAATTGTTGTCTGCACACTTTGGAATTCATTAGAATTTAAGGTTCTAAGGGAACGTTTGATATCATTCACTTTAGGAATGAAAATAAATTGATGTTATGCAATATAAATGGGAAAATATCCCAAGTTGTATGTATATCCGAGACAAAGGGGAGGTATCTCGTGTTTTCTTTACATAGTGGAAAATGCATGTTTTCATTTTCCCCCCCCCATTTTTTGGACCCTCCAACAGGCCATTTTATTGAAAATCAATCTCCAGATAACATATTTGAACATATGTACCAATGAATATCATAAAATAGTTCAGAATAAGATATACATAATGAATATCAACCATAATAAGCGATTATTGAAACCGTAGCATATTGATAACAATAATATGATGATAATACTGTATATACAGAACATACATGTAGATTAGGGAAAGAAAATAAAATAAGAATGCAACATCATCATGACTGAAAATGATGTGGGAAATTCAATATACTCGTACTAAACGATCAAAATCCTCTCAAAATTTATCCATTTTTTATCGAATTTGTCAGTTTTGTTAGCAAGTATACTACCTTGCCTCTCATTTGTGTAACTATTCCTGATATATCGTTTTATTATCCGAAAGGATGGTACAGACTTTTGGATTCGAGAAAAATATAATTGTTGTTTTAATATCACTCTCCGTTTTGATCCTTGTCAAGTTTTCAAGATAATTTGTGTATATAATAATCCACTTTTGAGTAAGTGTGATGAGTAAAAATGGAAATAATCACAAGTTACCATTAATATGAGACATATTTCTGGTTTTTGTTTTATAAAACGTGTTATAAAGTTACTGTAACTGTTATAAGATCAAATAGTTACTTTGTCGAGTCTTGTTCATTATTATATACGACACAAAATTAGCAAATACTTTACCTTTGTGCTTTATCTCCATAGCCCCAAAATACCAGACACTATTAGCCAAATCAGTGAGTTAAATTTAACAATCAAATAGTTTGCATTTAGTTCATACACTTGTATATAAGTTCATATATGTGTATATATATATATATATGACAGAAATTGGCATTCACAATGCCATTTATAAAAAAGAAAATACTAAAGGATTGTTCAAACATGACACCGCAAAATGGTGGTGTTTTAAAAAAAATGATAACATAGAGTGTGATGCATATGTCACGGAGCTCAGTGAATATGCGCAAATCCTTTGTTGCCATTCGTTTAAATATAATCAAATTTTGGCAGCTTTTTCGCTGTGGTTTACCGCCCCATATCTGAACAGTCCTTTATATTTTGCATGCAGAGATATCAGCTATTTATCATATTATTTATGTATGTATATATTTATATTTGCCTACTAAGAGACTTGTTATTTTTGTAAATATGTATAAAAATATAATATACATGTACCGGTACATAAAATGTGCTCTGATAGATATTCCAAAGAAGAATTTGACAGTTGCTTTCTACCTCTATCGTTCCACAATTGAACGATATTTTTTGAGGAATTTAGTTTTTCTATTTATGTATGTGAACTAAGAGTTTAAATAACTCCAATGATTTGAATAACAGATAAAACATCAGAGTAGTTTTTGTTTCAACAAGGAGAATCGAGCTTGCCTCGAATCTCCTTTGTTTCACTGACATTAACTATAACAGCATGTACATATTTATATTGATTATGTAAAATAATAAATTGATCTTGTTTACTTCTTCTTCATTTTTCCTTGCCTAACTTTATTTATTATTTATTGCCGTGGGCAACTTAGTGAAAACAAGTCTTACTTGGGGCATGCAACGCAATAAAAGGCAAAAAACATTGCATAAATTTGGAATGGTTCTAGTCCAGTCAAATAAGCGAATTTAACGGGGTAACCCAAAATAATTTATTTATTCCACTGCAGTTGAAAATTCTAGGAAAAATCTGAGAAGTGGAAGTACTTAAATTTGCATTATATATAAATTACTATTTTCATATAAGGAAATTCATTTGCATAAAATTACAAACTAAAGGTTTTAGTGGCTAAAGAAATGTTTAAATGTCGCTGGACTAAATGATATTGTCCAAGCCACTGAGCGTGATGAATACATTTTGCTTTATTTTTACTGGACTATTCGGGAGGCGATACATAATTTTTTTTTTTTTTAGGACATGTACCACCAATAAACACAAGTGAGACATCCTATCTAATTTTATGAAGGAGATGAATGGAAGAGGTCTAATACTTTCGATGGAGATCAATGTTTAGATATATTAGAGGTTACACACCACAGCGACTTGTCAAAAGACCAAACTGAGCGACTTTTTCAGGTGCAAAAAATAGTGCTCACTACCCCCCCCCCCCCCCCCCACTTAGCGACTTTTCGGCCGGCGCGATTTTCAAATTTTCCGGAGAGAAAAAAAAAAGTTTGGGCCCCCCCCCCCTTAGAAATACTGGATCCGCGCCTGCTGTAGCCCCTCTTTTTTTTTTGCCCATTATCTAGATTAGGTCTGCAGCTAATTGAATTCTTTATTAATTTTTATTAGTATGAACATTGATTTATGATATCAGAAAATACTCGTCCATCCTTCAACCAAATAATAATTCTCTTTCTGTACCTCTTTCTTGTCCCGCAATCTCTCTCTCTGTCTCTGTCGCTCTGTCTGTCATCTTCGCTGTATAGCTCTCTGTATGTATGTATGAAACTTTCTAACATCTCTCCGATTTCTCTTTTTTCCGCTCGGTCCTTCTCTCCGCACCCATTTCACAATGCAGCAACCTGTTCTGAATTCATCGCCATCAGCATGCGATGTCGCCCAAACTCCTCCATCAATCGTCCGACCATCGATGAAGACAGTCGTCGAAGAGCTGGAGAAGTAGTAGATAGATGCAGATTAATCTACAATTTGGATCTACCTAAGTAGAATCTACTAATCTAAAATTGGGGGATTTTTTTCTCGAAAGTAAAGCCTATTTTTCACAATTTTCCGATTTTTTAAAGAAATTTTGAAAACACGGACCCACGTTTAGGGATATTTTGTGAAAAAGTGACCCATTAGAGCGGCACACCCCCGCAGGACAGGGACGCCGGAAGTAAGGGGGGGGGGGGCAAAACGAATTTTGGCCACCCCCCCCCCCCCCAGAAAAGGAGTTAAATAGGTTTGGATTTTTTAACCATAAAAAAGAAAGAAAAGTGAATTGATCACAATCACAATTATATTCCATTCAAAGAAAAGGAGAGTAAACAGGAATTATACGTCCTTAACATTCCACATGCCCCTATGTTTATCAATTAATGGATAATTATACAATGGCGATACGCGCATATCGTGGAAATATTGTGAGAGGATTGAAAAGCATGAGTGTTTTTTTTTATAATATAGGGGTGAGAAGACGTGTGCCCCAGAACACTGGCGTACTGATTGGGGGGGGGGCAGTCATCCCAAAATAAAATTCAAAAGTGGTTTATTTCTTATTCGATACCGGTGATTAATGTTGCTGAAATGATATGATTTTCCCAGATTTTTCTCAATTTTTGTTGTAAATTTATTATATTTAGGCTATTTGTGCGTTTGTTGAAAAATGACAAATTCCAAAATTTACAGTCAGGCAAAAAAAATATGCTTATTTAGAAGCCTTCATGTCAGGATCTGCAAAACGACGGGGGCTCAGGGCTCGAGCCCCCGTCAATTTTTTGAAAAAGTATTTTAAGGAGAAAAAGAAAGAAAGAATGAGTAACCTGCCATTTTCACAAATTAGGTATCAAAATATGCTAATTTGACCGTAATTAAATGCCTAAAACCCCTGAGCTTTCGGGGGCTCAGCCCCCTGGACCCCACGTCAATTAGTGACCTGCCAGTGTCACAAATAAGGTATCTAAATATACTTATCTGACATTTACTTTAAAAGTGTTACGTGGAGAAAACAAACTATTACAAAAATAGAAAAATGCATCATAATCTTGAATATCACATGTTTGAAATATAAAGCTGATGAAAAGTGTTTTTTTTTCTTCAATTGTATTGTAATATTTCCTTACTTGAAACCAGAGGCAGAAGCATATGCCACCCTATTTCACCCCCATTTCACCCCTATTTCACCCCAATCTCTCTCTAACTTTCTGACTCACAATGCTAACCATGAGCTTCTGGGAGCTCCACCCCTTGACCCTTTTGCTCATTAAGCCACTGCCCCTGAAAAGTGAACCCCCTGGAATGTTTGCCCCCAATCCCAAACTGCTTCCGGCGCGCCTAAGCCCCCGTATGACTTAATATGTGAGTACCCCCTCCCCCGGGCTCTTTACACCAAGAGAAGAAATTCAAACAACGATAGTTATGTAAGTGAACACGATGGATTATTTCAAATACGTTTGAATGAAGAAAAGTTTATTACTTAAATATAAACAAATATCCATAAATGAACTAATTCACACGAGGAGATGGTAAAAATATGTACGAAGGTAGTCCATCACGGTGCAGAGCGGGCTGGGGCTCTTTTATGATTTCACTAAGGTGCAAAGTTTGGTTTCAAAGCTATCATTTTGTCTGTTTTTTTCAGATGCAGTTTGAGTCTACCACTGGGTCCAGTGGCGGATCCAGGGGGGTAGGGGCCCGGGCCCCCCCCCCCTCCCCCGGGAAAAAAACGTGTTAAAACACGTTAATTTGACCTTTTTGGGGAGTGTGCCCCCCCCCCCCCCTCGCGCTCAAGGGGGGGGGGGGGGGAGTGCAATTTTTCAAATTCTCGAGGGCCAGAAAAAAAAATGTGCTCATCACCCCCCCCCCCCCTCCCCACCCCCACTGAGCGCATTTACGGCCGGCGCGATTTTCAAATTTTCGGGAGCAAAAAGAAAAAATTGGTCCCCCACCCCTAAGAAATCCTGGATCCGCGCCTGACTGAGTCTACCAGGGAAAGTTACAATGCTACAATAAAACAATGCAATTCCTGTTCACTCATGCATTAAAGTTTGGTTTAATAAACCATGAAATTCACTCAGCAAATCATGAATGTATCATATCACCCTCAATTTTGTAGGCTCCAAAGGATTCACCTCTCACAAACTGGAAGGCTAATTCCTGCGCAACCTAATTTATATCCTTTACAAAAGAGAGCAGTGCTCACCCAAGCATGAATTATTTTCGGGCGTTTTGGTGTCATGTGAATGTTGAGTTTATGAGCTTTCCATACATATAAAAGTTTTCCCCCAGAATAATATATTTTTTATTCGGCAGCCATTTCAAAAGTGTATAGTTTTTTTTGGGGGGACGCACGGTAGTCGACGACAAACTCTACAAATACGTGTTTTAATGCAAGGAGATATTCTCTCCACATACATGGACACATACAATAGTTCCATTGCGGATCAGTTCAAGGGTGTCTTATTTGCAGAGGCGGCGATCCCGGGGGGGGGGGGGACACGTCCCCCCCCATTTTTTTTTAGGGGGGATCGTCCCATCCTCAAAATTTTAAAAGTGCTGGAGGGCCAAAGAGTGCAGTGTTTAGACAAATACAAATGCAGAAATCTTCTCACTCGGTAGCTACGCTCCCTCGCATAATATCCTTAAAGATGTACAAGTAATACCGAGAAAAGTGAAGTGTGAAAAAAGATTGTTGTTTTTATACTATAGTTTTGCTAAGACTGTAATTTTTTAATACAACAAAACTTCAAAAACCTGTGAGGGGGTAGTTACTTCCGTCTCCTTCCCCCCTCTCATTCACATTATCTCCCTCGCACTTGCGGGGGAGAGGGGGCAGTTTCCCCCAAATGAAATTCGAACGTGGTTTATATCTAATTCGATACCAGTGATTTACAAATGTTGCTGAAATGGCATGCTATTTCCCTAAACTTCCGGGGGCTCTGCCCCCTGGACCCCACCAAGGACCCGAAGGCGGGCCCATGGTTGCTCATCTGACCGTAAATACATGCCTAAAACGCCTGAGCTTCCGGGGCTCTTCCCCCTGGACCGCACTCCAATTAGTGACCTGCTTGCCAGTGTCACAAATAAGGTATCACAATATGTTCATCTGACCGTAAATATATGCCTAAAACCCCTGAGCTTCCGGGGCTCCGCCCTGGATGCTCATCTGACCTTAATAAATGCCTAAAACCCCTGAGCTTCATGGGGCTCCGCCCCTTGACACCCGCCGGGGCTTTGCCCCTGGACCCCACGCAAATTTATGCTCCACTTTGCTTTGCTCTACCTGAAGGCGGGCCCCTGGTTGCTCATCTGACCGTAAATAAATGCCTAAAACGCCTGAGCTTCCGGGGGCTTTCCCCCTGGACCGCACTCCAATTAGTGACCTGCTTGCCAGTGTCATAAATAAGGTATCAAAATATGTTCATCTGACCTTAATAAATGCCTAAAACCCTGAGCTTCATGGGGCTTCGCCCCTTGACACCCGCCGGAGGTTTGCCCCTGGATCCTACTTTGCTTTGCTCTACCTGATCGCAAATACTTTAGCTCCTCCCCCCCCCCCCATTTTGAAAAACGTTCCCAGGGCCTGCGTAACATGTAAGAGTGGTGGTGATGCAGATTTTTTTCTGCCCCCCCCCCGCCCCTGGTGTAGACACGAGGATAGTGCCCTGTTGTTTGGTATAACGCTTATACCATTGAGTACTCAGTTAATAGATGTAGCAATCATCATATCTCATCAATGTTGCTATAATGATAAGAGTCATATGTCTTGAAAAACAAATTTAAAGGTAATACAAAATCGAGTCGAAGACGAGTCCAATA